GATTTAGACGTTCCTGAATACACGGGCCAAAAACTGCGGGAATGCATGACGCATTTTATAAAGTGTTGCGTAAGGAGATTTGGAGCCAAAGGTACAACGACTATTTAGCATTTAGTMCTTTAGCCCGAATGGGCTATGAGTCAATAGACCCCTTGCATCATGTTTAAGATTCTCTGGAGATTGAAATTCTTTTGTTTTGTCCTCCAAAGTGAGCATGTTTTGCAATCAGAACGCAGCATTGAGGAAAGATCGCTAATTGAATTTGACTAAGTTAATCAAGCCACAAATAATAATAACAAAAATTCTCTAAACATATTTCAAATWATGATTGTGGTGTTTTTATYTGGTTGGATGTAGACATGGGGGCTTTAGCGAGAAGTGGAGATTTTGAAGATTTTGGAGATTTTGGAGACTTTGCCGGCCCCTCGGACGACGAACTAATCGAGATGACTCAAGTACGAAGCTATTTTCCAGAGACTTGGATTTACGAAGAAAAGGTTATAGGGTAAGGCAGATAAGTCTTCAAAATATTTCTAATAAGAGGACGCGGAGAAACGCACGGCTAAGGACTTTTGCAGTTAAGAGAATGCGGAGAAATTAAAACCCCTTGAACCGTAGAAAAGACAAGATTTGTCAATAAGGTCAGTCTTATATTATATTTTCTCACTCAAGAAAAATGTCATGGGCTTCTATTTTTCCAGAGATGAAGAAAACCACATTGATTGCCAGAAATACTTGCAAAAGGACCAATGTGGCAGAGCAATGCTAGTAGCAACCTTACCACATACCATCACAAGTTGGGTTGTACAGGCTGTTGCTGTTTCTAACACCTCAGGATTTGGAATTGCAAAGCCGTTAAATATRAAAACCTTTCAACGTTTCTTCATGCGTTTCACGATGCCATACTCTGCTCAACTTGGCGAACAGATATCGATCCTAGCCACTGTATATAACTACCAAARCACAGAAGGAGCGGTCAGTCCTTGATAATCATTGTGCTCTTACTTAACGATTTAGTCTACAAAAATTATGGCCGCTTCCATATATATGTACAAGTATATCAAAAGCATATCAAAAGTTATGGGATATCCTCCCTGATATTTTTTTCGAGTTGTTTATCACTAGGGCTT